GTGAGTTGTGCTGTGAAGCGGGGCGGGCCGGGGGTCTCCAGCCGGGCCGGGAAGGGTAAAGGCGAGGGGTGCGACGGAGCGGTCTGTGCTTGAGGAACCTGCGAGGGTGTTTGTTTGTGCGGGGGTTACCCCCCTGCAGCCCGGCCAGGGGGGGTGTTTGCGTGGTGGGGGGCGCTCAGGGTGGGATCAGCTGGGAAGCTGAAGAGGAGGTGCTGTCTGGAGGGAAAAGCTTGTCCTGGTGTGAGGAATCTTAAAATCTCTCGGGGGGGGGGAATTTGCTTTTTGCCTGCTTCAAAGGCTCCTCCGAGCCCCGGTGGTGGAAGGGAGGCTTCTTGGATCCAGCCTTGGCCAGAGTGGCTGAGGGAAGTGGGCATGTTTACTCTGGAGAAGAGGAGGCTGAGGGGAGACCTCATTGCCCTCTACAACTACCTGGAAGGAGGGTGGAGAGAGGTGGGGGCTGGCCTCTTCTCCCAAGGGAATAATGACAGGAGCAGAGGAAATGGTCTGAAGCTGGGGCAGGGGAGGTTGAGATTAGATATTGGGAAGAACTACTTTACTGGGAAGGTCGTCAGGCACTGGAAGAGCCTGCCCAGGGAGGTGGTGGAGTCACCATCCCTGGAGGTATTTAAGAAATGTGTAGATGTGGCACTTCAGGGCATGCTCTAGTGCCCGAGATTGTTGGGTTGGTTGGTTCGTTTCTTTGTTCATTTGTTTGTGGTTTTTTTATTGTTGGACTTGACGATATCAAAAGTCTCTTCCAACCATGAAGATTCTGTGACCCTGTGGAAGCCACAGGCCAGTGAGCGGTTACAGTCGTAAGATGGTCTGGTGAGGCAGCTGGGCTGGAGACCACACGGGGCCTGGTGCCGTAAGGTCACCCCGCTTGAGATGTCCTGGGCGAGCGGGGTTCAAGGAACAGAGCATTGCAGGGAGAGCTGCTTTGGGCTCCACATCCAATTAGGAGGAAAGTCAAAGATTTTGCAGCAGAGTATGAGCTTCCTGTTAAGAGCACTTACCTGTTTCTCACTGGCAATCGGTGCCTGAATTGTTTTGGACAAAACAGTGTGATTTTTTTAGTGCAACGGTCACAGTGGGAGCTGTCACGCTGACAGCTGCCCGGCTGAGGTCTAAGGAAAGTCTGATACACTAGAACATCAAGAAAGCTTGTGATTTTCAGGTCCGTTATTGCTACTCAAGAAAGATAATTTACCAGCTTTGCTACTCTTTCATGACTCACTGCTTTACAAAGGGGTATTCATTGCAGAGCAGTAACGGAGTCACCAAAGTGCTTTGCAACCTGATGTAAGTTTTCAGCCTAAACCCTGAAGTCTGTCTTTAAGGGGTGCAGTTCCAGAAAAATGTGAGCTTTTTCTTACCTGCACAAAAAGCCTCAGCCTTGGCCAGTTCTCACAAGGAACTGTCATGGACAGGTTATGTTGATACCTGGACTTTTTACCACTGACACTTGCTCTGCTCTTCATCTTTCCCAGCTGTTTGGAGTGGAGCACTGAGCTGACAGTGGTAAACAGGGGTCCGGCTGGGCTGATTTTTAGCTCTACCTCTGCTTCTGGGAGAGGTCAGGAAAGTTTGCTCTTTCTGCTTGTGCTAGGCTGTCCTTGTAGTGAGTTTCTTAGCCTAGATCCCACGTGCTGGAGGTTAGAGTGGTCTGTGAGGGACCAGGTGCAGTTCTCCTCTGTGATGGAGTGGACTTGGGACCATCATCTACTTACCGAGTGCTAGGGAATGAAGCATTTTTGGAGTATGGAAAGTTGAGAGCTCTTTTACTTGGTACAATGTAACTCACACAGCCACAGGAACTAGAAATGGAGCACAAGTTGTTGTCTTCTGTGTGTGGGGCCTGATAAGGTAGCTGTGATAAGGTACTTCTGTAAAGATGCCTCGTTTATGCACCCCATTGCTGTGCAGGTATTAAGAATCCAGCAGGTCTAGGCTAGATGCCAACTCTAAACTGTCAAGACATAATGAAGTCTTTATGAAAAAGCACATATTTATGTATCAGGAGAACTTTGTTGCAAGAGACTGAGGTGCCTGGGGATGTAGGCATTGCCAGGGCTAGGTGGAAGCTGAGCAGTGGTTTTGAAGACCTGTGTTTTGGACTAGGGCACCAGGTTTCTCCTGTGAGTCCGGCCCCTAGTAGAGCAACGGCTGTTTGCTATAGGGCCTATTGAAGATACCACCCAACACAAAGGAATCCAGTGGAGAAGGTGGAGAAGACCAGCAATGCAGTTTCCCATCTCACTGTTGTACTGTTCGGGCCTCTTCATTGACACCTTAGAGATTGTGGCCAAAGTTTCCTCTTTGTGGCTCAATTCCATACTGTGAAATCTAAGCAAAAATAAGTAAGCCTTCCTGTAAATAGATAGAACCTTGGCTTAACGATGAAGCACTGTGTTAGCCTGTGACTCCGTCCTCTTATTAAATCTGCTTAATTTTTCTGGGACCTGTTAGTGACAAGAGTACAGTGTTAGCTTTGTTTCCAGCCCTGGCTCACATCAGCTGCTGAGTTCATACTATGGCATGTGACTGCACTGGTCAGTGAAATATGAAAGGATGAAGTGTTTCATCTCAGTAGCATCATTTGGTGGACTGACCTCAGCTCCCTGCTGCTGGGGGCATTGACCAGACCTTATCTGCCCAACAGAGGTCAAGGTCTCAGGTTTCTTGGTTTTGATTTTAAAGTTAAGTTTCCAGGATATAAATCCCTGCTACAGTTTAAGTGTTCTACATCAAATTGGACTAGGTCTTAAGTTGACCCACATTCTCTATAATGGAGATATTGTGATTTAGTTAATGGTCAAAACAGAACTAACTAAACATAGAAGTCAGTAGGCCTGGTAAAATGTATACTGGAACATATATTGCTGTCCTAAGCTCGTATTTGTGAAGGCACAGGAACACGGGGCTCTGAGATGTCATAAGGAGAGAGGTGACAATAACGCCGGTGTCTCTGGATTGGCGTTCCTGTGAAGCAATTCCTTTAACATAGTACATTTCCAAGTCTGGTATGACATGGATGCTGTCACAAAACCCAACACCTGCTAAAGAGATTGCATCATTACAAGGTTAAAAATGTCTTTATTCAGGAACACCATGCAGTTCTGCTTTTGGTTGCTGTCGTGAGCTCTTAAAGCTATGTTAATATTTTTAAAGATATTTATATGATCTAGTAGATGCTTATTACATTCTGGTGTGATTCTTTTTTCAATTACTATGTATTCTGGTAGTGTGAACTTTTTCTTTTTTTCCACTAATCCACAGGAAACTTGGTTGCATCAAGCCCAAGTACCTAGGCCTTGATTGCCTTTCTACTTTCACCTTCGTCCATCTGTATTTGGTAGTTTGCAGTGGAACATTTAAAATGCTAATTTAAAAAATGCCTCCTCTAGGTTCATCGTCTTGAATTTATCAGGAAATAAGAACTCTGAAATCATGGCAGGGAAACCCAAGCTGCACTACACCAAGGGAAGGGGGAAGATGGAGTCCATCCGATGGCTGTTAGCAGCAGCCGGGGTTGAGGTTTGTACCTTTTTTAATGAAGTGATCAGATTAATCTGTCATTAAAATAGGTGTTCTTTGGAAAGGTTTCCCGATTACATCTACACTTAGAGATTTGCACAACATCACATATTGAGATGGAGAATGTTTAGACTCAGTGATACACTCTGGCATGTTGTATTTAACATCATCTTTGAGCAATAGTTATGCAGTAACAGGATTTTAAGGTACAAAGAGAATCGTTCAGTGTTGCTTTTGAAACATGCTTTCAGCTGACATCTTAAATTGTTGCTACAGGCTGAAACTGTGTATCTCTGACTTTTTTTTCTGAATGCTCATTGCTTCCCCGTGTCTCATGATGGTTTTCCACTGAAAAACCACGCGTACCGCATGAAAAAGCTTTAGAACACTATCACCAAACAAAGTGCTTTTCATTCTTTGGGTGAGGACCTGAGTAGGATAAATCAGCAGAGCTGCCCTGAAGGCAGTGGGGGAGCGATCTAGATTCCCATCAGGTGAAAACCATCCTAAGGCATCTTAATTTCTACATTCAGTTTTTGTTTGAATACGGTGCTTTGAAACTATTTTCTCAGAAAGTGTTTATACTCCATTGGAAATAAAAGGCTTTTTTAATGGTGCTCACTCGTGAATGCTCCTGATAGAGAAGCTGCAGAGCACGAGTGCAGAGGAAACAAAGATCTTGCCCTCATTCAAATGTCCCTCTCATTAAAAAAAAAGGCCAGCAGGGGGGAAGAGGTAGGTAAATGCTGTGTAACAGAGGCATAACTTATTAAAAATTTCTCAATATTTCACGTGGCATCAGCTGCTTTTAAGTGAATGATGTGGTGTCTGTTAATTGTTCATGCAGGAAAGTAGACTGGTCTTTAGAGTGAAGAAGCTTTTTCCAAAGTGTAAACCATTGTCCATTACTGTAGGGTTGGGGACATTACAGTCCTGGGTTATTTGCTGGAGCAGAGATGAAGAATAGGAGCTGGGATCAACACAATCATGAGAAGTATGTGGAATAGTGTAGAGAGGTGGAGACAAACTTCCAGGCTCCTTTCCACTTCTCCTTTGGAGCGACACACTGTTGTTTTCTTTTGTTACTTTTCAGTTTGAAGAAGAATTCATAGAAACCAAGGAAGACCTAGAAAAATTACGCAATGGTGAGTCAGTAAACTCTACCCTAACCATAAATCAATGCCAACGTAACAAAAGGACAACCGGTGAGATTTTTGTAAGACCTCCAATACCATGTGGCCTGTAAAGAGAAGATTTGAGAAACCTGCTTGCTTGCAAATGCTTTCATCCCTCAGAATTGGAAATGTCTTGATGTGTTACCAGGTCAGATGCAGTGTAGTGTCGCAGCAGTGCTGGTAGTTTGCTGCTTTTTCTTCCCTAGATGGAGTCCTGCTGTTCCAGCAAGTGCCCATGGTGGAGATCGACGGGATGAAGATGGTGCAGACCAGAGCCATCCTCAGCTACATTGCAGCAAAGTACGACCTCTACGGGAAGGACCTGAAGGAGAGAGCCTGGTACGGTAACATATTGCACATACTGTCCTTGCTAATACTCTTCCCTGATTTTTAATATTTATGAGAAGAATATGGCTGTGAAAAAGCTGCATGTAAAGGTGCATATGCAGCTGCCAGTGTTTTCTTCCCTCACATGCAGGGATTGGGTGAATGAACTATGTGACTGATCAATGATTGTTAATTGTCAACATAGTGAGAAGGCTATTGCCACTTTCGGGCTCGTTTGATTTCACGAGGGCCAAAAGTGCAATAAGTTCCTGGGCAACTGCAGCACCTTAATACAATAACAAAGGCTAAGTGTGTTTTTTATTTTTCTCTTTAAACTGGAAAACAGTAGGAAAAGGCTACAGGTGCCTAGCTTTCATAGCTGATTTAAAAAACAAAAGACAGGTTCAGTGGCTTAATGCTACTGAAGTTAAACCGATGTTTTCCAAATACTGCCTTACTGTGTGATCTGTGGATACTTTCCATTGTCATGATTAAAGGTCAATGCAAAAGCAAAAATTCAATTAAGTCCTTAGCCTGACTACTGTTTACTGTAAAGTGTATATTCAGTGATAACAGAGGAGCAGCTCCAGAGATTGTGGTGATTATTATGGACTGGCACATCTCAACTGGCAATTGACAGTCATTTGGTTGCTGGGATGCTTTCATGCTTAGACCTCAAAATTAATATTTTTTTTTCTCTAACATGGTTTGCATGTGTGGTCTTTTCTCCCACAGCGTAGATGAATAGGTTATCAATGGAAAACAGTGTGAACTCCACTTTAAATACGTTAGTTGCAGCCTCTTACTTGCACATTTTTTGTTGCAGATGCTGTGAGCCTGTTCAGAAAGAACTGTGCTTTGAAACAAACTGACCTTGAATCAAAATGGAAGAACGAGATAACACACTAGTATCTTATGTCATACTGACTAATAAGCATTTTACTAGGACAATACAGCATTGTATTTCAGGAAAACAACCAAAAAAGTATGTTCAAATGATAAATGTTAAATAAAAATGTTTGTTTCAGGATTGATATGTACGTGGAAGGAACAACAGACCTGATGGGAATGATCATGTATCTCCCTTTTCAACCAGCTGACACAAAAGAAAAGAATCTTGCCTTAATCATTGAACGAGCTACAACCAGGTACTTCCCTGTTTATGAAAAGGTAAGTGATAAATCACTGCACAAAGACAGTAAAGTGGGGTGCAGGTTCCCCCTCAATCCCCTGGCCCCACACACCTACTTTCCAGAAGGCCGAGTGACAGTACAACTCTACAACTGTATGATGGAGCTGGTATTCAGCAACATGAAAAGAGGGCCACAAGATAATATTTGGCAGGTTTCAGTACTGAGCATTTTTACTGTCGTCTTTAAAACTCCTCAAAGAGCAGATCCTACCCTTTAAACCTAGCTTAGTGGCTGATAACCCCTGGCATTTTGCATAAATGCACCATTTAAATACCTGTGCCAGCCTTCTGAACTTGTTGCCTGAAAGTCTATATACCCTTGCTGTTCAAAGTTAAATATAATTGTGCTTTATAATTAAGGACCTGATTCTGAGATCGTTCTCAAACCCATTGTTTAAATATATTATACTTACAGACTATTACTGCCTTTTTCTGAATTGGGCTATTTGGCCATCCTTAGGTGTACACAAACAGGATGTACCTAGCTTAAAAGCATAAAGCAATTATTTACTGGCCAGAGTGCACTAAAGAGTTAGCCACTAATGAGCCATGAGGTAAAGCATTGGTGTGCTTCCCACCCCCAGAGAGCACAGGAAGAGTCTTTCTTGGCCAGGCAAAAGTTGGTCAGGAGGGGACGGGTTGTTCTTTGTTTCTCCCTGGAATCCAGCCTGGATGTTACTGAGTTGCCATTTTTCACCAACTTGCTGTTTGTTCTGTTGTTTTGATATTTTAGTATTTTTTTGTGTGTTAACATCTTCCTGTTCGAGTTGAACCAGTTGTGATCCTCATCTCACTACCCTATTTCTTCGTAACTTTACCCTTTGTACCTTGTATGGTTGTACTAAAGAGACTTGCTCACAGCGCTTTTTCAGAGCGTGGCAGTCTCTTCAGAAGCCTGTGCCAAGGGTACAAAACTGCATTTTTTCAAGGATGAGCCAGGTTTCTAGCTTGAATCCTTGGTTCACAAGCAGCTGAAATCCATTCAGAAATACAGGACTTGTTGTAATTTCATGTGCCTCTTTATCAGAGCCTTAGATTGCACAAGCAAAACCCATAGGGGCTGCCCTGCAGGGAAAAAAAAAAGCATATAAATGATATAAACCAGTACTCCCATAATCAGAATTCACATAGCTCCACTGCCATAGCAGTGCACGGCTGTGCTGGCAGAGATTGATGGCACACATTAATCTTTCAAAGATTTGAAGCCCGGTAACGTAAGTATTTAAGTTATTTAAAAATAAAAAAGTGAATGTAGACACCTGTGTTCTCCAGACCTGTGCCCAGTTGGCGTAAACTACTGTTATGATATGCTTTAGTGTGTGTGACCACTGGAGAAAAGTCTTTAAAATAATCCTTCTTCACTTATGGTAAAGACACAGCTGAAATTTTCCATGATTTTTACCTTAGTTAATTTTGTTAGAAAGATTCATAATTTTCCTTCTGGACTGCCCTGGTTTCAGCCGAGAAAAGAGTTAATTTTCTTTCTAGTGATTGCTGTGAAAGGTATGTCAATAATGCACATTGTTTGAGTTGTTGCTAAGGGATGTTTATACTTTTCAAGGACTCTTGCCAGTTTCCCACAGCAGCTGAGAAGGAGCCCAGGTGGGACAGTGGGATGGCCAGAGGAATACTCTGTGCCACAGGTGTCGTGCTCAGTCCATAAATAGGGGTGGGAATCCACCATCTCTGCTCGGGATGGGCCAGGCCACCAGGCGGTGAGCACGACTTGTGTCTTGTATATTATATTACCATTATTATTATTCTTATATTCCTTTTCCATTATTGTTCTATTGAACTGTCCTTATCTCAACCCACTAGTTGATTTTTCTTTTTCCTTTCCCCTTTTTTTTTCCTCCCTCTTCTCCCCACCCTTCTGGGAGGAAGAGGAGGGTGAGCGAGAGGCTGCGAGGCCCTCATTGGTGGCCGGGGTTAAACCAGGACATGTACCAGCTGTTTGAGTTGTCCGTCGTGCTCAGTCCATAAATGGGGGTGGGAATCCACCATCTCTGCTCGGGATGGGCCAGGCCACCAATTCACTGGGCGGTGAGCGCGACTTGTGTCATGTATATTATTTTACCAGTATTATTATTGTTATGTTCCTTTTCCATTATTGTTCTATTGAACTGTCCTTATCTCAACCCACTAGTTGATTTTTCTTTTTCCTTTCCCCTTTTTTTTTCCTCCCTCTTCTCCCCACCCTTCTGGGAGGAAGAGGAGGGTGAGCGAGAGGCTGCGAGGCCCTCATTGGTGGCCGGGGTTAAACCAGGACATGTACCAGCTGTTTGAGTTGTCCCTTGATTCAGCTTGGCAGGGTTTGAAGTCCACGTGTTAAGCAATACTGGCAGAAAATATCCCTAGCTCTGAGTGGTCACTTTAAAGTGACTTCACTTTTAGGGTGGCACGAGGTGATATTGGGCACTGCGGGCGAGCTCCCATGCTCTGTTTGGGACTTTCCACATGGCTTCGATGGACAAGCTGTGGTGGACCTTGTTAGAGCAGTGAGGGCAATAACAACATGAAGGCATCAGCCTGCCTGTAATGAAATATCTTAATGAAATATCTACCTGAAAGGAGGGTGTAGAGAGATGAGGGTTGGTCTCTTCTCCCAAGTCACAGGCGACAGGACAAGAGGAAATGGCCTCAAGTTGCGCCAGGGGAGGTTCAGGCTGGATATTAGGAAAAATTTTTTCACTGAAAGGGTTATCAGCCATTGGAATGGGCTGCCCAGGGAGGTGGTTGAGGCCCCATCCCTGGAGGTGTTCAAAAGACAGGTTGATGTAGTGCTGGGAGGTATGGTTTAGTGATGATGCTCCTTGTTTGTTGTGTGGGGGACTAGTTTTGTCAGTTAGGTTGACGGTTGGACAAGATGATCTTTAAGGTCCCTTCCAACCTAGAAGATTCTGTGATTCTGTGATCTAGATAAAATTATTACATCCTATAGATGACTTTTTTTTTATTTATTCATATTTTGTAGGCCTTAAAAGACCATGGGCACGATTATCTTGTTGGCAACAAATTAAGCTGGGCTGACGTCCACCTGCTGGAAGCCATTTTAATGACGGAAGAATGTAAGGCTGATATCCTGTCAGCATTCCCTCTGCTAGAGGTTAGTGACCATCTGATCTCAGCGTGGGATGTAACACACAAACCTCACTGCCTGGTTTTAAAGGCTAATTGACATTTAAATCTTTTGAAGCTTGAATCTTTTCTCTGGTCTACTTCTGTTGACTACAGCAAGCTGGCCACAGGGGCACTGCTCTGCCCCTGGAGCTGCTGGGCGCTCTCCTTTCATCCAGCTCTGCCTTTCCCAGCTGTTCCCAGCTGGCAGGAATTCACTTACTGAGGTTTGGGCCTGTGACTGCTGCTTTCGTGTCTTCAAACATCAGGAGGGGCCTGTTGTGTCTGCAGTTCCTGTCCTTCTGGTTTTGCTAGCACAGTTATATTTTGAAGAAATCACATACAAGAGCTGCTAAATTCTTTATGTCTTGTCTTCCATGGTGCTTTGCATTGAGGTATTCCTGTCCTTGACTCTTCCCCCCCCCCCCCCCCCCCCCCCCCCCCCCC